CTTTGTTCAAAAATGCTTTATAAAATCACCTTCAGAGCGTTAATGGGAAGCCAGTCCTTGGCTTTCTGGGCATTACTTCTGAATGCGCTTTATGACTTTCAAACTCAGATTAGACCGATTCAGAAAATAAGATGTGTCTGTCAGTTGACTCAAACATATTGGTAAAATAAATAACAATTTTTCATTTGGGCACTCATCATTCAAATAAAAAAAGAGAAAACATAATGTCTGCACATACCAGAACACTTGGATAATTAACTGAATAGACACCAAAACAGGACAGTGGATATGTTCAGGAAGTTCGTACAAGCCAGAATAGATTGGAACTATTAAACCTTGGCATAAATCCAAGCTAAGGCTCTAAAAACTACTTACATAAATACAGGCTTAGTTTTTAATGGAAACTGATTCTTCTTCCTTTTACCAGTAAGCTATGGGGCAGACTTACCACTGGTTGTTCCCAGAAACAAGAGCGTAAGAAAAGGAGTCATTTGTAAAATGTTACTGGAAACCAAATGGCTTTGGCAAATGAATAGGTTTTCAAGTAAATCAGGTAATAGACAATGTTATAAAATACCTGTTTATACAAAGGGCATCCAGCACTTGTTTTATATGGGGAAAACAGATTTTCATGATACTCGTGATTTAGTAATATTGCTTCTCAAGAGATAGAATGATAAATTACTATTTTCCCCACCAACTGGAAAGCACTGTTCTTTTTAGAAGGCAACTTGAGTTTTAAGGCTTACACATAACAAAGGAACGTCCTTACCAAAGACGCCATTATGAAAAAGGAATGTACAGCCTGAGGAGGGTGGAGGGTGGGAAGCCTTTTTCCACACATCAAGCAAATTACCCTTAAAATTACATTATTACAATTTTAAAAATTCTTTTTCCATCAATTTTGACTATGTTAAGAACTGAAAGCTCTATTTTAAGATTTTATAGGTACCCAGTTAATAAATTGTCAATAAGGAACAGAAGGGTGCCTGCGTACAAACCACTAAAAAAAAATTGACATAAACAAAAAAAATTTTGGGATCAAGTTTCTATTAAAATGCACTGCATTTCATTACTTTTGTGTATTGGGAGCACGGCCTTTTCTATTTAAAACGAACAATAAATAACTGATTTTTTTTTTCCTTATATTTAGATAGATCTGAACAAGCAGAAAGAAAGGTGGGGCCTATTTTATTTTGTTTCATCAGAAAATTTGAAAATTACAACAATACAAGCAATGGAATTTAAAAATAAATTAAGCACATTGTATGACAGGAGGACATGTCTTTATACTGACTTGTTTAATCTGGGCAAGAGAATTGTACAAATTTCACACAAGTAAATCACTGGTGTCTAAATCCATATGAAATGAAATATAAAAATGCTAGTTTATCAAAATCTCCTAAGGGTCTTTCCTTGGTCTGAGATCATTGTTTTGGAATCAAAACAAAAAATTAGCTAACTATAAAATTACCACTTTGTAAGGCTTGGCTAATGGGACAGCAATTAGATCTCATAAAGAATCATCATATTGCTGCGAGGTGCCCAAAAGCTGCATAGAAGGCCAAAAATTTCTGCTAAAAAATATGTACAGTGGGACAGAGTAAAGGTTCAACTTCGAGAAATGGGTTTAAGCAATGAAGTAACTTAAGGGAAAAAAATTTCTCAAGATGGGGAGACATTTTCTAAAGCTCAAAAATGTGTACCCAATATTTATCACTCTCTTCATGTACTTATATACTCAAGCATCATAACACTCGATATAATATTTACATATTTATTCCATATCATACCACACTGATGCTGCACTGTCAGCACACACATTCCATATCATACCACACTGATGCTACACAGTCTATGGTGTTTCTATAGACTCTGAAAGGGAGAGATATTTTTACAATTCCTGCATATTACCAGTACAAAATGTGGAGTTAACACGAAAAGACCAGATCCTGTCTGGAAATAACATACTGTATGCATGAACATGAAAGCTCCAAGATGCATGGTGCAAAGCATGCAGAATTATATGCTTTTGCTCTCCCTGCAAAATTCATAGCTAAATAGAGTGAGAAGTGTCCAAGTAAAACCATACCATTCAAATACATTCACCTTGCTCCTGCTCTCCCTCCCAATCCCTCACAAATCAATTTACAGCAATACCAAACCATTTGACAGACTTTCAGATTCTGGTAAACACAAGTTTCTTCAGGGACAAATAAGAGCACTCACAAACTTACAGCATTCCTCTTTCCAGTTTGCATTGAAAACTGCCAATATTTACATATGGAACAGCTGATTCAATCATTTTTTACAACACTGAAAGCATTTAGTGAAGAAAAAAAATTAAGATATTCAGAACCTAAAATAGCATGTTTAAGTACTTCATTCTTTTCTTGGAGATTTTTCTATTGACTCCAATTAATCTTTTATGAGCTTGTGAACTTAGAGATTTTTCTTTGTAGAAAAGAAGTTGAGTTAATGGGCCCTGCCAGCAGGTTGTTCCAAGCTTTATTTACAACACCTGGAGTTTTGGAAAGTTTCCTTAATTATTTCCTTGTGAATATATTTTTTATATACACATATGTATAATATACATATATATATATATATAAAACTTTTTGGATTATGCTAACAATGTCTCTTTTAGGGCCAATTTTACCCTTTTTTTGGATGACACTTCTCCATACACTTTATTTGTAACTGTGCTTAATCATCAAGGAAATTTTCAGCATATGTTGAGCATGCAAAGCAGAATATTTCTGGGAAAAGTAAAGACAGAAGTAATAAAGAATTACGTGAACAGCTAAGGGTAAAAAGTTGATAATTTGGGGAATATAATTTCCCCCTTCTATAGTAAGGGAACAGGCATTCTCAAACCCTAGCGAACACAGCAGTACTTAGAACCTGGTAAGCTCCAGCTCTGAATGGACACGTCTGCATCGCCTACTAGAGCCACACAACTGCTTTATCACAAGAGAAGTCAATCAATAATGCAGGCACACAACAATGCCACTGGCATTTTTTTTGCTAAGCCAGATTCCAAAATCAGCCATGAAGCCACACTTCTAATTCACTATCATCTAAATAAACAGATCTAAATATACCTGTCTTTTAGTGGTACTTTTTATGTATTTTTATAGAACTTAGGCATTTACAGCATTCTGTCATTCTGCTTATTGTCTTACTAGACCTCAACCATTTAATCCAACACCAGAAATCCAACCTCAAAGCAAATATGCTTACCTGAAAATCAAAGCCACAACACATACCTTGGGAATTTGGGTGAGAGTAGGGTAGGGTGGTGGTGGTGGGGGGGGGGGGGGGGGGTTTTTTTTTTGGGGGTTTTTTAATCTCTGAAGACCAGGTGCATGCTTAAATCTAGAATTTTGGTACCAGTTACGACATGAGCTCATTGTCAGAACACAATGCACTACAGCACTTTAGGGACACCTGATTTCCAGTATGCCATATCAATTTACACCAAGACCAGGATGTAGCTTCACACCCATCTTTAGCCCTGGCACAATGACAGTGATATAGGCTGCAACAAATTACAGTCTAATCAGTTGCTTTCCTCATCCTGCCCACCTGAACCACAGATCCTTGTTCAGCTGCAATGCCTGCCTGATTCAGAAGGTTTCAAGTAATAAGGCATTCTACTAATGCTGCATCAATCTTCTGCAGTGCTGCAGAATTTGAACATCATCTAAAACTAAGCTGCCATCAGTTCATAAATGTAAGACTGACTTTGATTATGGTACCCCATATCAAACCTGCCTCTACGCAAATCGTTTCCATGATCAACATGGAATCAATGAGTAATAGGGGAAATAACTAAGAGTATCGTTGCTCTGGTTTTAAGCTAAAAAATGCTGCAAGCTTTATACATTTCTCCTTCTTAGAACAAAGGTGAAAGAGCTTGGAATGCAGCTTTCCCGACTGCTTCAGTTTTTCACCTGTTCCCTGAACTTTTTGCTCCATAGGTATGCAGAAGGAATTTGAGAATTTGCCCAAGGTGCTTTTTAAGTTCTAAGGATTGGTGAAAAAGGAAATTGAACACTGATCTACCTTTAATGTTGAAAAACACAGAGGAATCCCTTTTTATTGCAATGAAAACGCGTTAACATTTCAAAATTATAGCCCCAAACTGTTAAACTGCCAAAAAGGTCTCTCTTTACAAATATTAGAAAGTTTACAAATACTCTCAAAATTACCAATACTGCGTGTAATCACCTACTTAGCAATATCTAAGTACGCTAGTACGTTTTTCTCTCACATACACACACACAAAAAAATTATCACTGAACGTTATTACCCATAGATTTATTTGCTTTCCCAGTAGACCACCTTCAAATCCTATTTGATACAAGTTAAAATCTGTAGTCTCAACAGGTATGGTTTTCTCATCTAGCGTTTGAAAGGCACAGTGTTCTCTGTAAAGTGCCAGTGCAGCAGTAACTAACACAGGCAAGGCCTTACAGCAAAGCTTACCACCTTAGAGCAGTTTGTACCAATAAAAGCTTAGTTCATACCTCGGTGGTTGGTGAGGTCTCTGGATCCTGAAGGCAGAGGTGTATAGTGCATCTCTGGAGAGGTGGAGGCAGCATCACTGGAGGCCTGTGTGATAAAATGAGTTGTTATCAGTGAAAGTCAATGATTATGCAAAGAAGCTGCACCTGCCAGGTGAGTTTTATGATGTGGTTACAGGTGCACAGAGTCACCAGCCATGGAGGGTTAATTTGGTTTTCTTAAGGCTGCCTGCAATCCTGCAACATACTTGTACTCGCAAGAGTTTACACAATGATATTAGATATCATTAACTAAAAGAATATTTTCATACAGCTCACAGCTTCAAAAAATTACCATCTTTATCATGAAATTTCTGGACAATGTTAAAAATGTCCCTCTTGGTGAAAGAGATTAATATTTACCTGAAGGAAGTTATGAGTGAGTCCATATGGAGGGAGAGAAAGCTGGGCTAAGATATCATACTTTTCAAAACTAAGCAAAAAAATTATTCTGCCATTCTACTGTCTTGTGAGCTAAATGAAGGGATCTCTTAAAAATTATAACTCCTATAATGCAAAAAAGTGGACAAGTATATTGAATTGTTAATAATAACCACAAGTCTAATGCATTTAAAGAAGCACATACTGAGAAGACTTGATCAGAATCCTTAAAAGCAAAATGTTAAGGGAGAAGAGAGGAAACCCAAATCTTTCCCCATAATAAAAAATTCAATATCCTATGATTCTGATTTAAAAATATTAGACTGTGGAGCTATAGCTTGCAATAAACTACTCCTCATAGAGTTGGAGGTTTCATCTGAAGGAAAGAGCAATATAAAGCCAAGACCAGCCACATTTACCATCTTGCTTTTTAGTTATAGAGCAGTAGTGTTGCATTGTTAGGAAGAGATATGAAAATAAAGGATCATGTTGGTGAATATGAATCACCATCACAGTTTTTAAAATTTAGCTTGTTAGATGGATTGATATCATGGTAGTGACATGTCCAGTTTCAGGTACAGAGTTGATCTGGAGTCTTTACAATCTACCCATTGCAACGTACATAAAAAGATGATGGGTTTTAATAGAAGATGCGAAGGACAGTGTTCACTAAAAGTTACATGGTAATTTCTAATAGAAAAGATAAGGCAAATAAAGAGGAGAAATACAAAAGCTAAACTATTTTTTGAGTCATATTTACTGAAGGGAGTCTTGAGGAAAAAATTACTATTTTTTATGCAGGTTGTTCTCTAGTGATATATTGTCATATAAGCTGCAAAAGTCAGTCAAAGGAATCCACCTCAGTCTTACTTGTTATTTTGTAATTAATGATGTCAGCAAAAAAATTTTTTTTTTTTTCATTGAAATTAATTCAGACCCAGATTACAATGTCTGGGTAAGATAAAAGTGTAAAATAGGGCTATAATGCTTTGGAGAAGAAAAATCTTAAATACTAATTCAAATCTTAATTGCCAGACAAAACCTGAGAACAACAATCAGAAATCCACAATAATGAAAATTAACCATGGTAATAGTGTGTTAAAGGCTGTAACTTGGAAATCTTCTTTGTCATAGCTGTTGGACTCCTCGCTGATAGTATTTTAAAATGTTAAGAGGTAAATGACTGAGTAGGTTAGCTTTTGCATTTGGAGACCAGCTGCCAATTTGTATGTCAGCCCATAGTTATATTCCCATTTTTGTCCCTAGCAAAAATCAGGTCATATCATGAAGATGCATCATGCATCAAACCAGACATCTTAATAGCGACAGGTTTGCCTAAACAGCAAGGATGCTACTGATTGGATATGAATAAACATCTAGAAAACCTTGCCTCCACTTTCTCACCAGCGCAAACACAGCCTTCTTTTTAGAGACATAATGTTATAGACACAACCCTCACCTTCAGCTAGAGCGAATAATCCTTTGATTTTAGTGAACTGTAAACATGCAGCTCAATCTACCTTGGACTATGAAGTATTGGAGATCTTCCCTCTCATGACCAATATGAACGGAGGGAACATAACATCTCAGAGGATGAGACAGATGCCCCTAACACCCAGCAATGTAACATCTGAAATGAAGAACTTTCAAGAACAGGCATCTGTTCACAACTGTCTGTTTTCTTTGGGCCTAGTTTTTCTGGGTAAGACAAGAAGAAAAATGTCATGAACTATTTAACATAAGACTTCATCCCTGTAAATCACTCCAAAAGCTGGAGGAATAAGTGGTCTCATACTGTACACTCTAGATGTTATCTGCCTATTCAAGTGTACTTATTTGGGACTCTGATAATAGCGAAGGTTTCTCTTTGGTACTTTTAATCTCAATTTAGGCTGTTGACAGCTTGATGATAGCTTTTCCTAAAATTACTGGAAGAGACTTTGCCTTTTCAGCAATATACCACTGAGTGAGCAAAATTCAAGAGCTTCTAAAAAGGATATTGGAGTGAAGGGGCAATTTAGCTTTATTTCCAATTTTAGGAAAAGCAAGAACAGGAGGGTTTGTTTATTGGTGTTTTGCTGTTATTTTATGTACTGTATATAATTCCCTGTCAAATATAAAACAGTTTTCATTACCTTTGAGCTAAGCACTCAGTTAGAGCAACTTTAATTCTATGGAATATCATCCAGGGTTAGGATTGTTTTGCACAGACACTGGCTGGAGTTCTGAATCACGTTTCTGAGTAAGCCTGTGCACCAGCAGAAAGACACCTATTTGTTTTCCCTACCACATACTGACATTTGGCCCTAAGCTATTTTCCAAAGAGATTTGTATAGACTGTATTACTCTTAAATATTCACAGGAATATTTTGACAGTGACAGCACTGACATGTGACAGTTATGTCTTCAAGTATTGATGACATGCATCAGAAGTTCTTGTTGCAATGGAAAGTAACTAAAAATACAAATAGCATTGAGGAAGGCTGGTTAAAATGGGTGGTAACTTCAGTTTTATAGGAGTAGGTCACCAAATAAAGTCTCAGTAAAGAAATTCTAATAGCTTTATTATAGGAGAAACTTGTATTCTTCCAAGCATTATAGTAATCCAGATTTTGCAGCATTATCATAGTTCAAGGTATAAAAGTTACAAGGCCAATAAAGTTAGACTACTCACAGCCTAAGTTATGCACATAACAAAACATTTGGTAAACTGAGGTCTCTCTGTCTTCATATTAACCTGTAAGTTTTGTCCGGGCTAAGAGTTGTACTTGATACTACATAGACAGATTGTAAGAGAGTAACAGATTTTCAAACCATGTTCATCAAAATTACAGATACTTTAGAAGCTGCAGTAGTAAAAAAAACCACCAACAACCAACCAAATCAAGATCCCACCCCCCGCAAAAATCCCCCAAACCCTAAACTTTGAGTCATTTTAATTAAAGCGATGGTTATTGTTTAAGAAATTTTACTTTCTGTTGGTAAGACATGGCTTGATATGAGGCTATATTGGAATATCATTAGTACTCATTGATAGTTGATATTCCATTTGTGTCACATAGCTTGTATTTCTCTACTAATATTTATGCTTATTTCTAAGGCATGCTAAAAATTCTTTACATACTTATACACATCAATAACTGTAGTAGCCATTAATGTATTATACCTGACAAATTGTACAATACAGGAAGAGCAGCAGCATGTTGACATGTTCCTGACAAGGGGTCACTAGAAATACAATGCACTTCTGGAAAGATGTGGAAAGTAAAATTGTTTCAATACACACATACATACAAAGGAAGATTTCCTTAGCTAAATAAATTTATTTCAAATTATTTTCAGAGAATGTCACAGAGAGAAATCTTAGTTTGATCAAGACATCATCCAAAACAGAGATGGTAGAATGCAAAATGAGATGTAGTAGCAAGACCCCATATAATTAAGGAAATATTACTACGGAACTCAAGATATAGACCATGGATTCTCTTGTATCTGTTACCTTAGAAAGATTTTAAGTGTTTGGGATTTCACCTTTGTAACATGTTTCTAATATAGCATGGGAGTATCTCAAATCTCCAGCATTTCAGAGTGGGAGTCATTCTTTTCAGGGAACTGATGAAGAGGCAAACTTCTTGGGGACAGCATGATACTCATTCTCTAAGCCCGACCCACAATTACCAAGAATTTTTGTGTTCTGTGATACTGTTGTTTATTTCCATTCATCACAGTTTTAACACTTGTTAAAGTCATCTAGTAAGGTCACAGAGAAATGACCTTAGCAATTTGAAAGCTCGTTGTTTCTCATTTGGTGATTTACATTCAAATAAAAATGGAAAAAATATTGTGACATTGCAGCAATCAGACCAATGGTACCTATCACATTATCAGAGGCAAAACTTGGATTTAGTATGAAAGTATGATTTATTTCAAAATACTTTTAATATATCAACAGAGAAACTACAATTAAGAATGAAGGAAATCACTGCATTATCCATTTTTTTAAAGTGACAGAAACAGTTCTCCAGAAAGGTATATATGATTAATGGGACAATCTGTGGTATAGTTCCAACTTAAAATATCAACTCATACTTGCTTTTGAAAAACTTTTCCTTTTATGTAAACAAACAGTAATATTTTTCTGATAAGCTTATTCCATCTCAAATGTACTCAGTGCTGAAATTAATCATACCTTAACAGATACATGGCTTATTATAATTTTAAGACATGTCTGCATAAACATCTATCTACTTAGGCTAAAGACTCATTTTTGATCTCTTGGGCACATGTATCTTTCCCAAGAGACATGATGGCAACAGTCTTCAATAATTCATATATATTTTGAAAACTTGCTTAAATATCTGTGCACCAATAAGTCAACAATCTGTCGATTCAACCCCTTGGTAACACTGATGACAGCAACTCACATGTTTTAACCCATGAGTATATTGGACCATTATTATTTGTTCACATTTGTGATAAAGTGTACAGAAACTTTCCATGGAACTTTCCCCCAAGTTTTAGATATAACTAACAAGAAATTAATTGTTTACAGATTAAATATATATAAATAGTTTATAAATGTGCAATGAGGAACATGGTCTGCCTAATAACAGAAAAAGATTTAAATGTATTTATTTTGGGTTGAATTTATGACATGCTTGCAGAGAG